ATATATATATATATATATATATTACATATCTACATAACAACATAAAAAATGATGTTAAGAAAAATTAAATGCAAAAATAATAACAAATAAACCTTGTTCTTCATCATCACTTTCGCTATTAGTAGATACATCAGGGATTATTTCATCAGAAATGCCATCACTTTCACTTCCTGAACATTCGCCCTCTTCAAGTACTTTATCCCCCGAATTTTTTTCTTCACTTATAAGTTTTCGTTTTTTCACGTCATCCTACAAGAGAGACATATTCAAAATAATTACCTAAAGCTTATTGCTCATATCTTTCAATATCGTTATATTTGAAATATCCTTTATTAATTCATCTATTTCATTCAAAACCTGTAATTCAAAACAATTTTTAATATTTTCTCATAAAATTTGATATCTAAACATATAGAAATGTTTTAAAAATTATAATTGGTACCTTATGTGTTTTTCCAGTTTCTTCCTTCCTTTGGAAAGTTGTCTTGCCTGTATAGACTTGACTATGGAATTGATATGTATTACTAGTTTCATCATAGTAGTAATATATTCCAGTATTTCCATCATAATATAAACCTTGCTTCTAAAATAATAATAGATTTGTACGCTTGTCATCTTTACACACACACACACACACACACACACACACACACACACACACACACGCGCGCGCGCGCGCGCGCGCGCGCGCGCGTGCACGCACACTTACTTTATAGACACATGGAAATATATACATATGTTATATAAAGTGTATGTTATAAAAGTATGTTATATAAAGGAAATATATACATATGTTATATAAAGTTCATCAAGCAATATATACATATGTTATATAAAGTTCATCAAGCAATATATACATACTGTATCATAATAATATCCAGTATTATAATCATAATACATTCCTGATGTCTGCTCGTAAACAAAACCAGTCTGCAATAAAGCCGATTCTGCTACTTCCTTCACTTGATCTATTATATTGGATGACTTAACATTATGACTAACATCCCAATCTTGCGATAAAGATTTATTAAAATCTAAAGGATTCGTTTGAGTCCCACAATGTATATATGATTGTGTATAGAGCAAATTTTGTTGTTTCTGTGAAAGACAACATACGATTTATATAAATGAAGTAAATAAAAAAAGAAAACAAGAGAAAAGAACAAAAAAGAAATATTTGTATACACACACACACACACACACACACACACACACACACACATACACACACACACACACACACACACACATATATATATATACACATATATAGACATATGAAATATAGAGCTAATCAGAGATAATAAAAAAATATGAGTTTTATCGAAAATATATATACCTGTTCCTTTAATTTCCTTCGTAATTTATCAATTTTCTTCCGTTGTTTTCTAATATGGTCACGCAATTTACATATAAACGTTATAACATGAGGCAAACTATGTAACTCTTCTGTAAAATCTTCTTCAAAGTCTGATACAATTTCTCCTTCTTCACTTTCACTGTGCATTTTTTACTTAAGTAAAACTTTTACTTAAATAAAACTTCATTTACCTATAATACTGTTGATAATTATTTACTTTTAGCATGCACAATCATAAAAATTGACAAAAAATATATCAATCGACGTGTTTTTTTGTGAAAGGAACGAATTTGATCGAAAAAGGTGTCTCTGACCTGCGAACCGAGATATTAATCGTTAAAGTTAACAACTATTGAGGTTAGGAAATTAATCATAGCCGCGAAATACTGCGACCGCAAACATGCTCTGCGATTCACATTTTCATGCTCTATGATTACATATGTAAGATTTCTACTAACTTGCTTCTATAGCGATATATTAATGTTTGTTTATTAATATTCAGATCATTCATCGTTCATGAGTTTACAACTACAACTTTCCACAACTTTCTACGCGAAGCGTGATTCCCAATTTCCAATTTTCACATAATCCATATAAGGCGCACACGACGGGCGATCGGGAAGGAGGGGAAAGAGAGAGGAGTGGGAGAAACCCTTCGTAATTGCTAAACCCGAGTCTACAATAGATTTTAATGAGCCTTCTACAATAAGTCATTAGTCATAAATCAGAAGTCAGAAGCTAAAAATTTACCAATCATAATCGTCAATTTTTAGCGTCTGACTTCTGATTTATGACTAATGACTTATTGCAAAATAACACGCATTCTACAATAATCAGAAGTTAGAAGCTGGAAATTGATCAATCACAATCATCAATTTTCAACTTCTAACTTCTGATTTACGACTAATGGCTTATTGTAGAATGGGCATAAAGCGGGGAGCACAGACTCTTGCATAATGCATAACATGTAATGCATAAGAAAATAAACCAATTAAAGTCCTCTATTTCCTTCCTTTTCTATGAAACAAAGAACTCTAATTGATTGAATTTTTTATGCTTTATGTGTTATATGTTATGAGATAATATGGATGTTATGCATAAAGGAATCATCCAATCAAAATTCTCCTTTCTCATAAAATGGGAGGAAAAAGGAAAGAAAATATTGATTGGTTGATTCGCTTATGCACTATGTGTTATCCGTTATGCAAAAGTTTGTGTCGCGGCCCTAAGGAACATTGTACACAAACCGCATAATCATATGCATAAAGAAAAATATCCAATCACATTTGCTGTTCAGCAGAATTGACCAATCACGGTTAATCGACTGATTAGTTTAATTGGAATTAGTGAGATCGAGCTTAAGTCCGAATCTATAACAGGTGTTTAAGCCTTAAGTTATAAAAAATTGTCAAATTGACCAACTACAGTCGAATGCGAGGAAAATAATTGATTATGATTCATTCATTCCTTATGGCTTAAAAATCTAATGTAAATTCGGGGTAAGGTCCATTCCACACAAACTTATATAGCCGCATAATTATATGCATAAAGAAAATTATCCAATTACATTTCTGTCATAAAGACAAACATAAAATACGATTGGATGATTTTCTTTATGCACACGTTTATACGGCTATGCAAGTTGTGTGGAGTGGCCCTAATAACCGCAGCATAGATTTTCGCATAATACATAGCGCATAAGGAAATCAACCAATCGAAATTCTTCTTTTCCATGGAAATGGAATGGGAGAGCACACCGCACTTCATGTTGATGCTTTCCACATTTTACAGTCACGCGATTTTGTAATCTTACAAAGTAATCTTTCAAATATAACCTCACACACGATGATCTTGCTGACATGATCTTGCATCTCACTAAAGAACACTTAATATAACTTAAATATAATGAACTTAAATGTAATGCGCATGAGCATCTGAAAACTTCTGATTCGCTCTTATATTGACCTAATTAAAATGGCGCTCAATTGGTGCCACGATTTTCTATACTTCAACTTTTCTATACTACAGCGGATATGCCCATTTCAATGTATAGTTTAGTAATTCTAACTGGCTGTTTCGGCGGCAAAAAAAATCAAAATAGACGCTTGATATTCATCAATTTTGAACACGTGATCTTTTTTGTCGTTGAAACAAGTTGTCGGTTTGAAAATTCAACTTGTGAAAATTTATTTTAACGGTACGTTTGCGATGATTTCAACGCCAATTCGATTTAACGATTTCTTGCTGAGTAATTAACAATTTATTCATAAAGAATAAAATAAACTGTATATTTCTTAAAATTACACACACACACACACACACACACACACACACATACACACACACATCAAAAAGATGTGTATTATAGAAAATATATCACCTGAAAAATAAATGAAAATAAAAAGTTCTATTGTTTGGATAGTCAAAAGTAGTACAGTCGAGAAATTTAGCTTCTAAAATCATGAGGAATACATGCGAAGCTCGTTTATTTATGTTAGAACAGAATATATTCATTATATGAAATTGTTAATTAATGTTTATTTTTTACAAATAAAAATTTTTATAAAAACTTTTCTTGTACGAATACTTTTTGTTCTCATTTTATGCGTTAACGAATAATGATGACATGTTCTTTCATCTTGTTTATATTATTTTTATTAACTTGTATATCGATTTACAATGCAGAAGTAACAATTATTTTCAGCGCTTTTCAATACAACAAACATGTACGCGGTATATTTTTGCAAAAGTAAATTAAAACTTTCTAGTTGTACTTTTTTGATTGTTTTTTCTTAAACCGAGTAATCGCAATCTTCTCCAATACTGTTTTGTATTTGGATCTAATTCTTCCAAAGGTAGAGGAGGGCCAGTTCTAATATTCCACAACCAATTAGGGTATTCAGAATCTGGCTTTAACTCAACGTCTTTTCCTCCCTCTTTATAAATATTTGTACCGCATACATGAGTTAAAAGCCTGTTAACATCCGTTTCAACAGGCAATATTTTTTTTTCTACTGCAACTAATGTCTTCTTTAATTTTTTCACTCCTGGCCGGGTCGCTATAAAAAGAAAAAGAGATATTATTTATTTACTTGCAATTTTTTATTCAATCTAATACATGTTTTTAATACGACGATCGTGTGTATAGCTGCACAGTTGTGTTAGGCAAATTATCATTACAATCATGATGACACAGCCATTACTGTAGATGATAAACTATCATTATCGATCGATATTATTTCACACTGCACATGCAC